CACCGTCAATAGTTGAGCCAAGCAAGGTTGACAGTGAGGTTTGGTAGCTGATTAAAATCGCAGGTAGTCCGATTTTACATTGACCACGGTGATTAGCGTCCGAAAACTTTCCGTATCGAAGGCCGAATTCGACCATATGTTACAGTTGGGCAAAATACGTACATTTAGCAGTACGAAGGAAACGCCCCTACATATGGTCCCGAAGAACAAACTTGGAGATTGGAGACCGTATGGGGATTATAGTAGACTGAACGCCATCACCGTCCCGGACAAATATCCCATTCCTCATCTCCAGATTTCACATCCTCACTGTACGGAAAAAAAGTGTCCAGCAAGATTGATTTAGTGCGGACATATCACCAAATTCCCGTCCATACCCAAGATGTTCCTAAGACTGCCGTCATCACACCCTTTGGTTTATTTGAACTCTTGCGAATGCCATTTGGTCTTGGCAAGATAGCGCAAACTTTTCAACGTTTTATAGATTAGGACATTGGAGGGTTAAATTTAGTTTTGTCTATATTGACGTCTTGGCTACAAGTCGTGACCCTGACGAACACTTGCGTCATTTGCGACAACTTTTTGAATGATTTGCGCATTATCGGGTAGTTATTCATGCCGCCAAGAGTCAATTTGGAGTCGATACGGTAAATTTTCTTGGTCACCGTGGTTCCTCCACCGGAATTACCTCCCTATCTAACAGTGACAGTTAGCACTGAGTACCCCATCCATGATTCCCACAAAAAGTTACGCCGGTTTGTAGGCATTGTTAACTTCTACAGACGATTCATTCCGCACTGTTCCGAGTTAGCCCAGCCACTTACCGAACTACTCCGATGAGATCCTAAGTCATTCGGATTTACGGAATCAGCTGAGCGGGCATTCAATGGTCTAAAACATCAGCTAGCAACTGTTAGTCTTCTCGTGCATCTTGACCCAAAGGTCCTGTTACAGTTAACGGTGGACACCACGGATGCAGCAGTAGGTGGTGTGCTACGACAAAGAGAGAGAGGTGAATTATATCCGATTGCCTTTTTCTCTAAGAAACTACAGCCTGCCAGCGAATAAGAACAAGTACGTACCACCCAACAGCGAACGGGTTAGTCGAACGTTTTCATCGCCACCTCATAGCTTCTTTGATGGCATGTTCTGACACAAGTCGCTGGACCGAAACTTTACTGCTGGTTCTTTTAGGTCTTCGAACGACCAATAAAGCTGATTTAGGTTGCTACGCCGCAGAGCTGGTATATGGTACCACGTTAAAGCTTCCGGCTGACCTCGTTCAACCAATCGTCGCCAACCTTCTAGATCCCTCAAACTTTGTCCATCGCCTACGTTCATTAATGCGTGTACTACATTTTACTGCCACAGGAGCACAAACTAATAAGGACCAAAAGATTCGACGACTTGTTCACATATGTGGTTACGAAATGATCCAGTCCGCAAGCCACTACAATCACCGTACGAAGGGACATATGAAATTATCACTAGGGTAGAAAAATACTATAAGATCAAGAGGAATGGTACAGACGGTCCTAAGCCAGCATATGCTGAACAACCTTGCGAAAAGCAACCAACAGATCCTCAAAACACAATAAGTACGCAGCAATCATCAAAGATCGTTGAAAGTGACTCAAAATAGAATATTAGTACACAGCAGATACTGTCAGGAAGATTTCATTTTCAAGACCGCTTAGTGTATTATGCATTTTGAGTGTACCATCTTGTTGTGCGAATCACTTGGCTGTACTACCTGCTGCCAGTTTGCTTTCGTTTGTTGTTCGCCAGCTCCTGTCAGGACGTGGAAGTACATCTCTAGCAAGACATAATGGAAGAACAGGATGTGGTGCCTAACAAAAGCAAGACTACCACCCATGCAATTGCCATCCTAATTTTGCTACCAAATTTTTCTTTGCACCTTAAATACAAAATGTTAGCCTGCATAGCTCCCATATCTAAGCATGGGGCATTTCTCACGGAACAGGTCAATGTTTACTGGCTATTCCCACCGGGAATTTATTCCTGGTCGCTTGAACACCGTACGACTAGCGCAGTGTTTGGGAGGCATGTAGTAACTTCATCATTTGGCACACAAGCTTTGCTAGGACATCATCCTTAGTCAGCAACATTTTACCAGCTGCATCGACTATCTTTTAAAAGTCCAGTTAACACACAATCGATACCAAGTTTGAACAACTGACTACCTAGGTGTAGCAACATCAACAGAGCACCTTCACAGGCTTCCTCTTGTGCTTCCATTATTAATTTGTGGGAGCATTAAAATACATCAATGGGAGTACAGCCTTCTACTTCTTTACGGCATTCGAAAGCGACGGGGAATTAGTCCAGCAACTAAGAAGTGCTCCTACGGTATTGTGTGGGCATGATACTATCAGATTGTCGGCCCGCAGACGAAAGGAGCACACACCTGCCTTGTAAACCGGAGAATGCAGGTTCGAGCCTGCGTAGATGACCGGGCGACTAAAGCAGTGCTCTTAGCTTACGCGCGACTGGTGGTGGTTACGTGACAGCATAGAGTCGGTACTACGTACCGGCGTACTGCTGAGGCCTAGTAACAGAATGCTCAGTCATGGACAGAATGATGATGGTCCACAACCAGAGAGTTTGATTCAAAAATCTGACTTCAAGACAGCAGAGTTTTGGCAGTGAGTTGCAGGGAATCCGTTTTGCGGAATCCAAAGTCAATTCTCATTCCATCTCCAATCCGAAGGACCAGGAGACTGAGTTAATCTGGCCTCTAACAAATCTGTTATGGGTGGCTATGAAGATGCAAAGGGTAGCACACAGAAAGGCTCAATGGATCGCCGAGGCATCCAAACCATACCACCACGATAAGGTTCAGTCTTCTCGAGATGGGCATATAATTTGAGAGTAAAGGACACAACAAGTAGATATCACCAGCCAAATTGAGGGCCGTATTTTAGCAAAGAAATACTACGGCAGTAAAATGTAGGTATAGTGCCGACACACGCCTAGGGAAATAATGATATATGATCAGTACGTCCCATATTGGGGTACAAAGCGTCTTGATGTCGCACTAACCAGAATCCCACAAGAACGAGTGAATCGGCCCAGTGTGAAGACAACAATAAACTCTAAATCATAAATCGACCAGTCTCGATTGGTAGTACCAAAATAACTGTTTATTCCTTGAATTCGATGAACCACAGTCCGTTTTCAGTATTTGCTGAACAGCACCAGGACTGGTGGTTCGTGGATAACAAGATCTTTGTACCGAGATAGTGGTTTCTTAGCCGCAGTAAGAACTTAAAATATAACCACTTTTAAACAACAATGGGCATGTCCCGATATACAGCAAGCGAACATTGCGAAGCAATCATACTGCGTTCCTACAGCGGTGTCTGGTAAGTAACGTCGGTGTAACCAGTCAGTGGGTTACTCACTATAGTCCTAACACGTACCTTCAAACACTGCAAATTAATGCGTAGCAACTGTACTCTAGAAGAAAACACTAAAAGTCTGCGCAGTTAACACAAACGTAGGGTGTTCATTTTATCTCAACAACCACCCACTATGTTCGGTAGCTGAATCATAAGTTGCGCACTGACAATCGTTTCACATTACAACTGTGCATTTGTGTCGGGCACAGTCCGAACACTGACTAAATGCGAGTCAACATGACTGTCCAAGAGGAGGTCGCATTGTTGGATTCATGCGCTGGGTGCCAATACTAAACATATACCGCAGCCAGGTAAACATAACAAGCAACAACTAAGCGGCATGCCCAAATCTCAGTATACAAAAACTGCACAGGAAGACAAGTCACAGTAAGACCCGTAGTGTGAGCTGCCAGCAGGAAAGCTATCGTTTTGACCGAAGATACGAAACCGGTGTACTCAAAAGAAATAGATCTTAAATGTGTTCTAGTCAATGAAAAACTACGCATGCTTACCTCTTTCATTCGATATACTGTGCCTGAAACGTTGGGAACGTAGGCGCTGGATAGGATTTTGAACAGCTTCTCATTGTTAGAAGCTGAGCTCCTGAGCAGCTTTTGGAAATGCTTTGCATCGATTTCCTCTACGATTTTTTTACCGTAACATTTTTCACCCACTAAAATCTAAAGTACGCTTTAACAGAAACGCCCTCCCTACAATAACGACAGGCTCTTGATAAGAGAAAGCAGAATCCCTCCAATATCTCAGGAGGACAGAAGTAGATAGTTTGCCATCTTTATAAGGTTGATCTAATAAAGGATCGACTAACTTGCAATCATATTGGAATAACAACTTACTATGAAATCACAATCAAACCGCTCCAGACAAAAGCGCTTCAAGTGAGGTTTGATAAGTTCGTGAATTAGAAGACGTTCGGCGTAAAACTCCGGATGATAAGCTTGTAGTAGCACCCTGAGTTCAGTCAGCTTACGCATTACTGTGAAGCATACGCTCTGCTTCAACTAGAATACGGGTTGATAAGTGAATGCGATCGAATTGGTTATTTTACAAACACTCCGACACGTAAATCGTTGACTGTATTACGACGGATAAATGTAGTTGGCAGACAATCTGCACCTACGCTGATTGGCCAGATCAAGGTCATGCTCGATACTTAACCTGATGAATGTTGCAAAGGCCATCGACGAAGATCGACATACTACCCACCAATGCGCTCCGCTAAAAACAGGAGTTCACGCCTAACGCTACTGCTTATAAAATCCATAAAGCGACCTAACTACCTTCCACGAATTGCAGAGTGATCATGTACTCCAAGGGAAGAGTGGAATTATCCTCTAGCAACTATGGATATTTGGTTGGTGAAGATTCTAAGCAAAAAAAACCCAAAAGAAATTGCTGAAAACCCGTTGGACGCGAGTGGGTATGCCAGGAATACAAGAAAATCCGGCTAAAGATAACCTACGGATAGCCCCCGGATGGTCATTAATTGTCATAAGACACATGCATACAGAAAATATCAAAGACATCGATGTGTCGTGAATGTGATGAAACTCCAGACAGTTCAGCAACGAATAATATATTGCATTCAAAACAAGAACCATAGCTTTGAATGACCGAACGAAATGGAACTCAAATTAACTCTAAAGGTTGAGTACCGGTAAATGGTGACTATCAAATGAATTTCATACGAATGAAAGCAACCGATACCCAATAAAAAAGCAGAAAATACTAACTCGTAACATCTCATTTGGATACTAAGCTAGTAAAGTCAAATCTGCCAGGAAACGGATTGTCAACAAGTGGTATCAACAAATATCGAACAAAGTGAAGTTTCCTTGAAGTGCATGGATCATATGGATTTTAGTGGGGAGCGAAAAGAGTAAGTGACACACAAAATCACATTGTATGTGTCGGAGTTGGCAAAGTCGAGATGGTACACAGTGGGATTCAACAGAATAGCAAGATAGATTTGACCCGAATAGGCCTAGAAGTATCTGTACAGTAACGATGTAGGCAGGTCGAAAAAGAACTTTGAAAACTTTGGTAATGCGTGAATTATGCGCACAAAAGCGGGGGCCTCATAACGCCGCTGAAACTCAGCACACGCGTTGGAAAAAAGTAGCTGACAGGAGACCTAGAGATTATAAATGAGTGTGGCTATTTGGTTGCAAAATTTTGTGTTGTAACACCATGGTTTTAATGGACTCAACATACTGTGAGGGAAGCCAGTACACAAAATAACGAGATTTGGGTGTGGGACCTAATTGGAAAGCCATGATGTGATATTCGGGATGACTTTTAATAGGTTGACTTAGAACATCGTGGATAGTGGTCAATGGGAACTTGTGTGTGACGTCGCACGTGGCCAGCCACAGCTCACACGTATCTGGTCGGACGCGTAGACGTAAGGCACGACCACGCTTATCGTAAAGGCCTGTAAGGGATTCGTCGGGTGCCAATATTTCTTCTGAATTCAGAATTCCGACCATTGCATTCTCCGGCTTCCCAAACCGCTCTAACACTCGTTTATGTTCCGTTTGCTCACACCACTCGGAATCGATATCAGGCGAGCCGACGATGTCATCACCAACAACAATACCGCTCGAACCTGTAGCTTCCACTTGTCTCAACTGATCGGCCTCCGACTGACGCGATCCAATAAGCATCAACTTGGCATCGCGGGGCGGTAATTTGAGGTCGCGTAGTGTGGAGCCATCGGAAAGCATGCCGCGGAAAATGAGCTTTTGCATTTGCACCGGCACCTGGGTGAGTGGTTCCAACAACGATTTGAGTTCCAGCATTGTTGTACTGATGGGGAGATCGAAAAAATGTTTGGTGCGGTTGTAAATTACGTAGAACTGAACATTGGACTCGGTATGCCGATTGTTCTTGTCGGCATCTAGGGCCCGAGTAGAATCGGGTTGTTCGGACGCTGTAGCACCGTTCTCAGGGTCAACGCCGGTCATGTGTGAAACAAGGCTGCAATGAACAATGAGATATTAGTAAGCAAAGCGGATGGATTTGTCACCATGGTAAAGGTAGATGAAGAAGATTGACCACAACAAATAAGGAAACCTCATGATTTGTCTGCCAATAGCTCAGAAAACGCGCGCGAATTAGGAAGATAAGATTACGTCGACTTGTGACGGAAGAATATACTAGATCATTAGGCTCAGCAGCAATAGAGAGCAACTAAAGGCCATGCTGGCGGGGATGACGCGAATAGGCTACCAATGCGTTACGGCATTGAATTTGGGAATACATACAGTGTCACGGCCAATGCCTGCTATGACATGATAAATATATAGTGGTCCTGCTACCAACCGATCGATAAGAGAACAACAACTACTATCGAAATTATAATCCACATGCGCGTCTAATTCACCACTCTGCAGTGCATGCCCTACGGCTAAAGGGATAAGTGTAAAAACAAAGAGATTCTGCGGGATTTATTTCAAGGGATGAAAATGGATACTTTGTGCGGTGACATCACTCTCCTTTAGCACTACGCATCCCAGAAAGACCAGTCCAAGTCACGTCAAACCTCAAAAGAAAAGTCAAGATTACCTGATGTAGTGTTTGATTACAGCAGCCATGTAAAACGCCTTGTGCACAAACGCACCGATTACGATCAACTGCATTAGTGAAAGAAAGACACGTGTATCTGCGTAGCACTGGGACGAGTGTGCCGAACTATTTGCCTAAAAGGTAAAGATCAGGCTAACAGTTCAGAAATTGTGTTTTTAATCACCGCTGTCCTTGGAGCAAGACAAGTATAAGATGGCAACATCACATTAGTAATGGTGACATACGTAGACGGAGTTTTAAATCAGCAGCTTATGCCACTGAACCGCTGGAGACAGTGGCGGACCGTCATAATTTGCAAGGTAACTGCAACATAGCGCGTCTTGTCCTCCACTGCCATTCAAGTAAGGAACGTTGCAGAGGGCTGGCCCAAGAAGATACGACTTCCCAGATAGTTGATATGTATGAAATCGTAGCCTGTACGTAATGACAGCCCGCTGATGTTCAGTGGCATAAAGCTGTCGGCCGGCCTTCACAGGACAGCACAGAACGCCTGCGTTTACAGAGGGACCATGGGTGGTTTGCACTGCAGCAACAACCGCTCCGTCCACATACTCCATATCCTGTGTAAATCCGAAGAAATAAAACCGAGAGGAATGTAAGTGAGAGCCAGGTTTCATCAAAGGAGCCCGTCCACACTCCTTCAATATGCACAGCAGTATTCTTGACTAATTAGAGAATCATAAGTGTCAGACGTACACAATGCGGTGGCTGGGCCGTAGCCCATTACACACTGGATGGAACCATGCTCTGAGCTCGGTAACGTCACGAGGATCGTGCACCCCGTCTATAATCGAAGTGGCAGCTTTTCGACAGGTAGGCACCCTGTCAACATTCACATCAAGGACAGCCACACCAGAGATATCAATCAACAGCCAATAGCTAAAAGAAAGGCATCAGCAGTTCGTCGACACGCTTCGCTGCCGCGCAATCACCGCTGGTCAGACGTGGGCCGAGGATACTGCGAGCGTCGCGCTGCCCATACACAGGCTTTAACCCACACCATCAGATTACAAAAGAAGCTGATTATCTTTAGACTACGGGCCGGCCAACATGTAAAATGGGAAACTCAACACGCAGGTACACGCACAGATCAAATGCAGCAATGATGTGGCACACGTACCTCATCGACCGCCTTATTGGCTTGAGTTAATAAATTGAATTTGAAGCAGCGTAATTATGAAGAAGTGTGCTGTTGATTACTTATTCAACTGACTCGTCGCCTCTTTGATGTTGAATGCGTGTGGCGACGGTGGTTGCTTACCAAGCCAACTTTGTTCAGGTACTCGCGACCGCATGCTCTAAAGCACCACGCGCTCAATCGGCACCTATCGCTTCCTCAAGTGACATTTCTTCTCTGCAAGCAGCAGTGGTTTCAAGTACACCTGAACAACCGCCCACTTGATATGCTCTCGCCAGCGGCGACGATCCATCTCCCAACACTGAAAATCAACATCAGTTCATGGTAAGAAACCTTGATCAAGTCTTAGTAACGTAACTTCGGCTTTCCAACGTGCCGGTTCCATGCGCTATGTTAACTGTACAAAAGCTGTTGCGGTATCCTTATCAAACTCATTCGGCTGGTATGTCCCAGTCACCTCAGGTACCGCAGAAGTAGTATGCACTCCAATACATACATGTCACTGTAACGCAACACTTCCGTGCCTGCAACAATGTCGCACCAATCGATGTGCAGAATTCGTCGCAGACACTGTTGATGAAATCGCCCCAAATATCTGGCGCCCTCCTGGTACATGGTGCACGTTTCACTAGCGCATGGAAAACGGACAGAACCATCGAAGTGTGCACCATCAGCTTCGTTCCCACGGTGAGCTGGTGGTTGTTCCACGCAATTTTCCCCAGTTTGTCAAACGCAGCAGCCGCCTTCGATCCGCGGATGTGCAGATCACTCATCATCTGCAGGTCGGTTGATACCATGCTCTCAAGGTAGCAAAATTTCGACGCTGTTTCCAAGACGTCATCGGTAACTTGGATTTGGGGCACGTTCGAGGACTCCACTACTGGTGAAGGCCGGAAAAGACAAACAGTCTTGCTTGTCGTCATTAGGTGTTTGGTGATAGACGAGGTAGGGTTCCGGTACATACTTCGGTCCACTCCGCCTTGGTGAAACAGCAACTGCCTTAGTCCCAAACGGAAAGTGCTCAGCTGCATTTTGAGCCAGCCGGCGATCAGTCTTGCCGATGTAAGTGTCATCGCAAATGCAAGTGAAATGGTAGATGGCACTAGAGGCCGAACTGATTGGCGAGCTACTTGGACGACTGTGGAGAGGAATTCTTCGTGTAGTCTGGATAAGTCGTAGTTCGGCGGTAGAGTAGGTGTGCATTAGAGCGGACCTGATCTTGTGAACAACACCATTTATCACATGATTCCTTTTGAACAGTAAGAACAAAGAAATAGAACAATTCTCCGCTGTTTGCACTGGCAACTTCTTCTTGGGAGGTCTGTTATGGGTCTGAATGAATTTCTCCGGATACCCACTCATCACCATCATCATTACACATGTTAACTAGAGGTGGGAAACACCACAGATACTGTGCCGCAATAAATAAAAGGAAAATAAATACAACAGTTGCATGCCACCTGAGCTACCAGCAACGGATGGGCATCGTTCCGGTAACGTACCTGCCGCCTACTAGGCAACAAGAAAAATAGCCATGTAAAATTATATTACGCTACGAAATGAGATAGCAGTTGGAGGGGAGGCTAAGATGAATGGGGTGGGACAAAGAAACTCACAGCACGAACGCCACTGATGTAGGCTCCTTGCCATGTCAGTAAGTGTGTCCAGCCAAACGTGATCGTCGTCCTTTGGACCCCATCCAGGGAGCTGTGACGCTCCAACCGAGGTTAGCTCCGAAGTGAGGACCACCATTCCTTTCGACCAAGAAATCACTAGGCCACCCCTCCTCCTCTTCCATCCACATCCCCGGCGCGCAAACAACGCACGTCGCAGGAGTCGGTGGGCTAGCATGCGCAACACGTGGCCCAGCCATCGGAGCCTGGTGCGTGAAACAACAGTGCTGAGCAGTTCACTTCCTTTTCCTGTGCCGTAAACAAGGCGTCGAACAGGCTCATTTCTCACGCGGTGTTCCCACCAGATGTGAGCCAAACTACGAGGGCACTGATGGTCGAACGTAACTAGCCTCTTTATATCCGCAGATCTTAGGGGCCAAGTTTCACAATCTTACAGTAAGGTCGAACGTACCGCTGCATTGTACACTTTACTCTTCAGGGCGCCGCCATAGATGGCGAAGGTTAGCAAAAGCACTTCGAGCGTTTGATATACGGTTCGTGATCTCATCTTCAATCAGAAGGGCGCTGATACAACTTCCCAGATAGTTGAATTTCTGAACGACTTCTAGCAGATCCTCACCAAGAATCAGCGAAAGAGACGATCCCTGCTAACATTGGAGGAAAACTTTGCACTCCGATGGTGCAAAGCAAAGCCCGAAGCGGCTGACAACCAGTGCTAATCTGTCCAGTGCGGATTAGCACGGCTGAGAGCTGTCACAGATGAGGGCAATGTCGTCTGCATACTCCAAGTCAAGAAGTCGTTCTCTTGGGAGCAGATCCACACCTTCTAAGTCGTGTCCTGTAAATGCAAACTCCATGACTTCGTCAATAGCGAAGTTGTAAAGGAAAGGTGACAGCGGGCATCCTTGTCTCACACCGCTGGAGACCTTAAAGGGCGACGACAGCTTGCCATAGGCCCTCACTCTGCCCGTGCTACGCGCGCATAATGCTCGGATAATATTTACATATTTCTCGGGTACACCTTTCCTGAGTAGACAATTCCAAAAGGCACACCGATCAACCGAATCGAATGCACCTTTGATATGGAGGAACACGACAACGGTGGGCCGCCAATATGTGTGGCGGTGCTCCAACAACTGACGCCAAGTGAAGATGTGGTCAATGCAGCCACGACCTCGACGAAACCCGGTTTGCTCTTCACGAATATGGCTTTCACAAATGGCAGTCAGTCTGTGAAGGATGACAGAGGCAAGCAATTTGGAGGTGATGGAGATCAAACTGATTCCTCTATGGTTGCCGCATTCCGATCGTGACCCTCCCTTGCAAATTAGGACTATGACGGAGCGGCTCCAGTCGGTTGGGACAGTTTCCTGCTCCCACAGTTTCACTGGTAATTCATGTACATCATCAAAAAGAGCAGATCCCGTCAATTTGAAGAAGGCTAGATGAAGATCATCTGGTCCCGCGGCTTTGTTTAACTTCAACAGTCCGATATCACGTTCGACTTCTGAGCGACAGCGTGGATCCAAAGGGACAGCCCACGGAGCAGGGCGATCACTGGCCGGCGAAGAATCGAACAATTCTAGCCGATCAAATTGTGTTGCAACCTGCTCAGTCTAACGCTCCAAGCGTTTTGACAAGTTGTGGATAGGCTGTCCACTCTCGTCACAAATTGTTTCACTAACACCAGATCTTCTGCTGCTCGTTTCCCCTATCAGCCGGAATGACTTACGATGGTTACCAAAGGCAGCGTCCATTTCCATCTCTGATGCACGATGAGACAACCAGGATTCGCGGTCTCTCTTCAGGCTAGCACGGAGTTTTGCTTGGAGCTCTTTGCGAGTTTCATTGTGTTCGCTTCCAGTCGGAATATGCCGGCGAGCATCGATCAGTTCCAGAGACCGCGAAGAGACTCAACGTCCGTATTGGCTATTAGACTTACCACATGAGGATTTGCTTGTTGCTAGTAAGGTCTGGTGAACATGCGACGAGTGACCTTCAACTGCATCCAGTGAGCGCTTACTCAACTCGCATATCATCGTACTTTGATAGGCATTCAGAACAGCTGGCTGTCAGTTGGCTAGTGTTAATGCGCTCACAGCGTCGTCGTGAGCGTCAGCCAAAACGCATCCGCAGGTCAGCACATACAAGTGCATGATCCGTGTCCACACATGTGCTCCAAATCGAGCGACAGTTCTGGATGCTGCCTCTTCAGCGGTAACTGATTGCAATGTGATCGATCTGCGTCCAAGGCTGGTGGGCGCCATGTCACCCTCCGGCG